TTTTTTCTTGTATAATGAGAAGGCATAAGTGGAAAAAGTTTTATTTGTTCCATAATGTTTTTTATTAGAGCATCCGGGTTCTTATGCGGTCTAGAGTTGTGTTTTCTTCTTCTGTCCCGTTCTACAGTACCATCTTCACCAATTTTTTGCAAAGCGGTGCTTACAACTGTTTCAGAAATTGTAAGCGTATTTAAGAACATCGTTTTGCAAATTTATTTCTCATTATTGTCATTGACAATCTTATAATTGCGAGAGAAATTCCTTCTGGAATATTTATTATGTACAGTAACCTGCTTTTTTTCTCGTTGTGTCACGCACCTTACAAGAAAATCCCACTGCCGAGTATGATCTCCAAGGTTCCAAAATTCGTCAAAAATGACTTTTCTAGCTCCTTCATTAATTTGTTTGTTGCATTTAAGCCTATCGATCCAGGATACAGGAAATCAATAATAGTTTGGACATAGTCCGAGGGCTTTAAAAAATTTTAAAGCTCTCGGTTATTATTTATATTCTCATTTTTTCTTCCGACCACATAGCTTATACGGCTATAGGGCAAAGGGTTATTATAAGGTTAAAAGACTTACAGTTTGGAAGTTATGAATTTCACTCGTTTTTCCTCCAGGAACACGGCTTTTAGATAAAAGAGTTATTAGTTTAAAGGGCTTATAGTGTGAAATATATATTTATTACTCTCTTTCTTTTCTACACTGTTTATAGGGGTATAGAGCAAAATCATAAAACTTGTGTTATTTTTTTGACTCGGGAAAATCCCATTTCTACAAAAGATTCAATTTTCATTTTTATGTTCTTTTTTCTTTTCAATTTCGGTGGCTATATCAAGAATTTACAAAAAAATTTCTTATACTTTTGGCGCCTCGTTAGTCGTTTGGGGGCCTATCTGCCAAAATAAGTCGGGTTTTGCCGACTGCCCGACCTGGCCAGACCGGGCATGGAGGTTAAGACTATGCCAGTCAAGTATAGCGCGCAAGACGATAGCAAGGGCCGACAAAAAAAAATTGTTCGTTTTTGTGATATGACCCTACCTATCTAGAAAAATTTTCCGCTGAATCCGAAACAGATAAAAAGAAAATTTTCTGACGTATGGATTTTCCTCACATACTCTCAATTCCCATCAAACATTAAAAAAATCCAAACTGGCTATCCAACCTACCCATCCTTAGTCAAATTTTTCGCTGAATCCAAAATTCATAATAAAAGTTCTGACGTATGGATTGCCCCCACACCCTCAATTCCCCTTAAAAATGTAAAAAAATCCAAACTGGTCGTACAATCTACTTATATTTAGTAAAATTCGCTGAATCCGAAAATGGCAAAAAAATCGTTTGGACGTGAGGGATTCCTCTACTCATTTGTATCTCTCACTTTCTTCTTTCAAAAATAAAAATAAGTACAAATCAAACGTGGCAACCGTTTTTAACTTTTATAAAATCTGTCGATAAAACCAAAACTAAAAAATATTTTTGAACTAAAATCTCCCTTTGCTCGTACACTTAACCTCACCCCAGCTAACATTTTCAAATTACGGTTAGCATCCTAGCATTGATGACATTTTTCATTGAAAGCTTATTGTTTTCCAAAATGTTTCAAGCTCTTCAGTAACTTTAAGTTAGGTAGGTATTTTGATGAGCAGGGGGGATCCCTCACGTCTAAACAATTTTTTGCAATTTTCGGATTTAACGAATTTTACTAAAGGTAAGTTGGATGGGCAGTTTAAATTTTTGGGGGAATTGAGGGTGTGTGGGAGAGTTCATAAATTTTTCTTTTTATCATTTTCGGATTCAGTGGAAAATTTTACTAAAGATGTTGGATGACTAGTTTGGATTTTTGTAATTTTTGGGGAAATTAAGGGTATGTGGTCGGGAATCCACGCGTCAGAATTGTTTCTTATCATTTTCGGATTCAGCGGAAAATTTTACTAAAGAAGGGTAGGTTCACGTCTCAAAACAGTTCCGAGCGGGCAGCCGAGCTGAGCAGACGTGTTTTGTGAAAGTGCAGTGCAAGGAGCAAAATCTACCTGCCTTTCTTTCCTCTTAATCACCGACCTAATCCCCGGCTTAAGCATAGAGGCCGTCGGCATCTTTGTTACAGGTACAGGGGTTTTACCCAGGTAAGTCCCACTTTTACTTATTTATCAGTTATTTGCATTACTTTAGAATACCAGACAGGCAAATACACCAAAAGACACGTACGCCCCCATAAGGGAGCATCCCCACACGACTAACACGTACACACCCTCACACACACACGCACAAAATGTCGGACTCGGAAAACGATGAGAACATATACATATACATGGACGATACAGACAGCGAAAAACCCTATTCAAGAGTCTCCGCTTCACCAAAAAACATGACCACTAAAACAGATTTATACGAACAGCTACTAACACAAAAACATGAAAACGAGACGCTAAAACAACAAATACACGAACTCACAGAACAAAACACCCGACAATACCAACAAATACTAACCATGACACAGCAAATCGTCGATTTGCAAAAAACAATTAAACTTTCGGACGAAAACACCACTAAATTACACCAAAAACTCGACAAACTCATTAACAAACAAATGACAGACAATATACCCCAGACAGGCACACACACACACCCTCCACACACACACCCCACACACACACGCACAGAGAAACGCAAAAAACACACAGCGGAATCCTCTAGCGAGGACGAAGCCCCCAGACATAAAAAATCAGACAAAACAAACAAAACACGACCACAAACACCAAACACGCGCCCCCCGACACCTACACCCTCCACAAGCGCCCTACAAAATACCNCCAGAAGAAAGGGCCCTAGCCGGCGGGGCCCAGCCAGGACAAAAGGAGGTCCCACAAAGCGCCTACACCGGCCGCATTTGCGGTCGGGGTAGACGACGGATGGGGCCCACCTACGAAGGCTGTCCAGGCCTACAGGAGAAGAGGCAGGATAAAGAAGGATAATCCCCCTCGATCCCAAATCATTGAGGCCAATTTCTAGCCATGGAATAATGGCGCGGTTACCGGGTTACCATCTCATTTTCGCGAAGTTCGCTTTGAGAGCAAACAAAATTAAAGAATTTTTGTTCAGTGACAAGGAGGGGATGAACCGTTAAGATTCTGACGGTTATGAACGGGATCTCGCGAAAAATTCCTAAATAATGAGTATCCAGTATACGTTTATGCCAAGGTTTAGATTGTCAAGTATTTAATCTATGGTTTGTGTCGAATGTTATAAGGTCTATGGAGGTGAGTTTAAATTTAACCTAAAAAGTAGTTACTGTTAATAATAAGTAACAGGTACATTACGTTTTCTTCAAATGGATTATGTTTATGTAACGAATTAATTATAATCAAACATAATTATCGTATATTGCAGTTGTGTCTATGAACAGGACACAAATTATCAAGATCATTAGATAAACACAATAACATTTGTCCAGACTAAGACCAAAGTCTAATCAAATCACCAATGCTAGAAATCGCTGTAAATATATTTTTTCAATAGGCACTTCAAACGGCTTTCAGTTGAGTTCTACATCAGTTTTTAATACAAAAATGTATGCTGAAATGGAAAACGATGAAAGTCCTGTACATATAGCATGCACTCAAGAAGGATGTGACAATGTTGATGTAGTGTGGGACTGGAATTCTCCACGAGCCAAGCAGCAGCCAAAAAGACCACAAAAACGTTTGATATCACAATCACCTAAAGTTCCTGTAAAAAGACATCCATCGAATAATCAAATCCAAAATTTTGAAAAACTTCGAGACGAATTACAAGCTCTGAGGGAAGCAATTGCTCTTCCAGATCATGAGGAGAGCTTAATGTTGTCTCCTGTAGAAGAAGCAGAATATAAACATGTTAATGATCAAAACGCTGATAATGTACGTCCATTAACTCAAGAGGTATGTTTAGAAGGAATTGATGCAGACTTGTTTAATGATTCAGCAGATGAAGATTTAATACTTTGTACTCAAAAATTAGAAGCAGATTTAAAAGCTATAGAAAAGAAAACAAGTGGTTGTAGTAGTAACTTAATAAATAATCCAAATAGAGGTACAAAAGTTACACATATTGACATTGACAAGGACATCAGAAATATAGGTTTTAGCAGTGCATATTTGCAACCTACTAAAAATTTTAATGATAAAAAAGATCCTTTAGTTAATATATCAATGAAAATTAATGCTGAACATTTAGATTCTAACAAAGTTATTCATGACAAAATAAGTTATAACCAGAGTTTAAAATCTTCCGCTCATTTAGGTTTTCCTAGAACAAGGTCAGAAAATCAGTTTAAAAATTGCAGACAAATAGGAAAAGTGGAATTCCATCGAACACACAGTTTTGAATCTAGCGTTGAATACAAAAAAGGTAAGTCATTACTCAAATTGAAAATTTTATTGCTTGTACAGTATGTCCTATATAAAACTGTAACACATAACATTTTGTATGATTAAATTCAATCTTAAACGATAGAGCCCATTTGAATCATTTATGAGGAGAGCAAGGACTTTTAGTATAATTTTATGTTACTATGAGCACAAGTATAAAGTCAAGATCCAGTATATTTCCATTATAAATTCATTCAGGTTTATTGCACAGTAGGTACTTATGTGAAATTATTTCTAAAAATCCTTTCAAATGAAGTCGAACAATGTTCTCTGATAGGTACCAAAAAATATCGAAACCTCAGTCAAGATTCCTAACAGATGATATTGTGGGAAGCAACTACTCTATGGGCCACGAGGCTAGGGCTACGGGCTAATTATTAAATAATATATTGTTTCAATAAATTATCTTGTATAATTGTTGTTTTAACATCACCCATGAAAAAATCAGCATGTAAAAATACCCATGATAGAAAGATCGTACTATTTCTACATTTACTTAATATTTCCTTGCAAATTAGGCTATTACAAATTCGCTTCTCACTACAGGGATCTCAGAAACGGTAACAGATACGAAGTAGCTTAAATGGGGGCAAAGTTGCATAATCAGGGGACCAACATTATGCCTCTAAAAAATCAAGGCTAGCATGATTAGTTTTCGAAATATTTGAAAAAAAAATAAAATTTTGGAAATGCGTTTTTGTTTCATATCAGCCTTGTTTGAGGTGATATTGAAAAAAGAAGAACAATTTCTCATGGCCACTTTTTCTCCTCTATCGAATGGCAATCATTTTTTATATGTAACTTTTTGTCTCTCCAGGACCATCATCAACTTAAATTTTTTAAATACGACCCTAGAAATTTTACTACATTTTTTGCAGGCCTTCATGACCCCCAATACTGTACTGCCTCAGCGCGAACCAGATTCAGACGTTTTGTCTCGAAAAGTTCATCTTCAATGTATTCGTTCCAAATTTATTTAATTTTTTTTAGATTTCTATGTTTATTGAATTATCGTACACTCTAAGTATCGTTAGACCCTGTGAAATCCACCTAGTTATTTAAATTATTACCATCACACGTTACAATAAAACATTATTGAGTTTTATTCTCCATCACCTGGTCATATTACAGTAAATGTTCAATAACATTTCCGTTTTGGCAAATGTTGAAAATGAAGATAAGCATAATATGATCGGAATTTATTATACCTGTAACCGCAACTGTGAAAGAACATGTCACATCTATTTGTATGAATATCCTGAAAAAAATTATATTGAAATTTGTTTGCATTTTGGGCACCCGAGAAACCTAGAAATAACTATGAGCACGGGATTAAAACTCAAATAATATATAATTGTAACGTGTGATGGTAATAGTTTAAATAACTAGGTGCATTTCACAGGCTCTAATGATACTTAGAGTGTTCGATAATTCAATAAACATAGAAATCTAATAAAATAGATAATTGGAATTAATACATTGAAGATGAATTTTTCGAGTCAAAACGTCTGAATCTGGTTAGCCTTGATTTTTTAGAGGTATAATGTTGGTCCTCTGATTATGCAACTTTACCCCCATTTAAGCTACTTCGTATCTCTTACCGTTTCCGAGATCCCTGTAGTGAGAAGCGAATTTGTAACAGTCTGTATAGTTAATTCTTAATATTATTGTTAATATTTTGAGTGCATTTTTGTACAAATTCGATTCATTTACTCAATATGCAAAGCTGCATTAATGCTGAAATGACCAATATATTTTGTTTTTTTTTCCTCAAAAACTATTGCATTTACGACAAAATAAAAGTCACGTTTCGAATAAATAGAGCTTGGTGATAGAGAAAAAGGTTATGTGCAAAATTACCTGTAGGGATGGTTACTTTCTTCCCCTTATTTCTAAAGGGAAAATTAAGAAATTATCCGGTAATTAAGTAGTAGAGAAAAATTTACATAATTCGAATTTTGTTACTTTCTTCCATATACATATAAGAAAGACAACAGTGAAAGATCCCCCTTTATTTTCAATATTTAACCACTTCCTTCATTTTTTCACACTTATTTATTTACACCCTATACAGAGCATTAACATATATCGATCCGCAACAATACTGATATATCATTATTAGTCAGTCTCTTACCATTAATAACTAGCTGACCCGATGCCCTGTCCAAATTTCCATAAATTTGTTTGTGATAAGCACTTTCAGTTTTTTCAGAATTTTCCAATTTTCCAGGCAACTTTTCCAATTGTTCTTTCCCTAAAAACCTTATTACAAACATTTAAAAAAAAAATAGCCAAATCGGTCCAGCCATTGATGAAGTGATGCACTTACCAACGAACGGCATTTATTTTTATTTATACATATAGATAGAAGACAGATTATTATTTGTTTCCGATTATTACAAAATGCCTGCAATTAATAATTTTATATATTAAATTTGATGAATTGTTTTTTAATATTTGTACCTTTATGTTCACTTAGATGTTCAAGTTTTCTATAAAAAATTTGTTTTTGCTAGAAGTAATTCCTCAGCACAAACTAGATGAAATTGAAAGGAAAAGGAAGGAAGCCTTGGCGAAACTAGAGTTAAAAAGGAAACAAGAACATAGTGATTGTAAGTATTAAATACACGTTGTTTCATAAAAAATAGTACTAGTTTTTTAGCTCTATCAAGATGTTCACCAGAAGAAATAGAAAAAAAAAGATTACAGGCACTTGCCAAACTAGAAGCTAAGAGACAGCAAGAAATTATTGAACGCAAAAGACGGGAAGCTCTGAAACGTTTAGAATTAAGCAGGAAGAAAAATGCTATGATAGTGAGAAGTTCTCTCAGTACAAGATTGTGATTATGGATATATTAAATGTGATGAGATGTTTTTATTCAGTCTGTTATTTTGTTAAAGATTGGTGAACTTTACATATTTTTGTATATTATTAAAATCTGTAACAAATTTGTTACATGAACTGATGTATATTTTTAAAACCAGTGTGATATGCATAATCATACAAAACTAATGCCGCTTCAAGCATATTTCTCACTTAATAAAAGAAATAAATATCTACATAATTATGCACTAGGTCAATTCTTGGAGTATGTGCATTATTTTTTGTTAAACGAAATCCTGTTAGTGCTCATGGCAAATTGTTAGTGCTCATAGTCCAAGCAGTTTCCAAGATTATTAGTAGTTTGCTAGAACGGGCCTATCATAGATCTAATTTTTTTCAGAGAACTAGAAAATGTTATTTGTATTTAGTATTTTTTTTAATAAAATTATATTACCTACCTTTATTTCTCAGCAAAACGATCATAACTTTTTAAAATTTATATGTATTTTACGGACTATATATTTTCTTAATAGTTTATTCTTAAAATTGACAGTATATTTTTTAGGGAAATGGACTGGTAGTTTTGTATTGAAATTAAATTGAACAGTTTACTAAAATAAATTTATTTGAGAATAAAACGTTCAGTTTCAAAAATTAGAAACCCATTTTGTTATATATGTACATCTCATACCCATCTAAGTAAAACGAAACAAGAATGTCAGTTTCTCTTTAAATTCGACACTTCGAATCTTACTATACTTTTTTATATTTCCTAACAGTTAAAACGATTATGATTTAGATTTTAAATATTTTATATATCATAAAGTTGAGAGAATTTTTTATGAAAAGAAAAAATATTCATAATTCAGTTACAAATTTCAAAAGTAAGTCTACAAAAAAGTAAATAAACCAGTTAATCATGGGTTCTTTGCACGAAAGTAGTAATACTTTTCCATTTTCATTGATGCAAGGTTAGTTTTAAAAATATGTATTCAATAACTCTGTAGTTTTTAAGGCATTTGGTTGAAATTTGCAGACTTGCCACAGCTTAACAATTACTCTACTGTTAGAAATTTGATGACCTATAACTCCTAACGATCAGGACTTAAAGTATTAAAGTAGAAGAGAATTCTCTGTACTTTTAGAGCCTGTACACTTATGAAATAAATTATATCTATACAGGGTGATTCATTAACAATGGGAAAATCGAAAGCTGAAGATACTATACGTAAAATAGTTACCATTGGCGCAAACATGCCTTATTCTAAAGTTGATAGTTTCGGAAATACAAGGTGTTGAAAGTTAAAATTTTAAATCGTTTTTTGCCATTATTCTGGAAATATGTAGGTTAGGAACTTGAAAATTTGTGAAACTGTATTTTTTTGCGACGAATAAGATACATGTTGCAATTTCAGCGTTGCTTATAGAGGGCACCACTTACGATCAATTTTACTGAAAATTTAGTTAATAACTTTTTAGCCTGTATGTCCAACATGAGACTTGATTCAAAACCTGGAAGAGCAGTACTTTTTCCATTAGTGATATACTCTTGTTTCATTTCGCCATCTCGATCCGTTTTCGAGAAAAATTGATTAACGAACACTATGTTTTGATAATACGAAAACTTAAAAGCGAAACAAACCAAGTATTTCTTCATGTTATTACAATAATTAACAACGAAACAAATGAAATACGTAATAATGATTTAACCCTTTCGCTACGCAATACGTCTGAACGTAGAAAGTTTACTGCATGCGATTATATTCGTCTGGAGCAGTTACACTACTTATACTTTTTCCATTATGTTGTGTTAAATTAAATTAAAATGTGTTTAAACATTTCAAAATAATTGTAATAGTATAATTATTAATATTTTATTATAAAGCAAAAACTGAAAAAGAGATAAACAATCTTGGCAGTACCTCCTTCCATAAAAATAATTGCCTGATCCAATTTAACTATTCAAGCGATTTAATTCATCTGGAGCAGTTTGAGCCCTATAAATTTTTAGCAAATAAATATGTCTGGAGCAGTGAAAGGGTTAAAGTAATTGTTCGAAGAATCCACCATTGACACTGATACACTTTACACAACGTTTTCTGAGAGATCTTTGAATTCAAATTGGGATTGCGTCTGATTTTGTTGGCAGCGATTTGTATTCTTTGCCACCACTCTTCACGTGCACCAATAGATTCTTTGTAAACTATATCTTTCATTCGAGACCAAAAAAGAAAATCAAGAGGATTGAAGTTCTGACTTCTGGGTGGCCAAGCTAAAATTCTTAATTTTTCTATTTGGTCTCGAATGAAAGATATCGTTTACAAAGAATCTATTGTTTCGTATGAAGAGTTGTGTCAAAGAATACAAATCACTGCCAACAAAGTCAACGCAATCCCAATATGTTGTTTCAAACTCAAAGATCTCTCAGAAAACCTTGTGTAAAGTGTATCAGTGTCAACGGTGGGTTCTTCAAACTTTCAATCATTACTACGCAGGTATTTCATTTGTTTTATTGTTAATTGTTGTAATAACATGAAAAAACATTTAGTTTGTTTCACTTTTAATTTCTCGTACTATCAAAACAAAGTGTTTGTTAAATCTATTTTTCTCGAAAACGGATGAAGATATCGAAATTAAACAAGAGTATATAATTAATGTAAAAATGATTGCTCTTTCAGGTTTTGAATCAAGTTTCATGTTAGACATACAGGGTAAAATGTTATTAACTAAATTTTCAGTAAAATTGGTCGTAAGTGGCGCCATCTATGAGCAACGCTGAAATTACAACACGCATCTTATTCGTCGCTTAAAAAAATATAGTTTCACAAATTTTCAAGTATCCTAACCTACATATTTTCAGAAAAATTGTAAAAAAACGATTTAAAATTTTAACTTTCAACACGCTGTATTTCCGAAACTATCAATTTTCGGATAAGGCATGTTTGCGCCAATGGCAACCATTTTACGTGTAGTATCTTCAGCTTCCCATTGTTAATGAATCACCCTGTATATGCATTGGTGACAAATATGCTACATCCAAAACCGGAGTAGTGCTCCATAGTCCAAGAACGAGGACTGGCCTATGCATCAACTTATTGCAGGTCAACTGCTATTTTGTGTGTAACTTTGTTTGAAATATCGGAGAACATATCGTATTAACCTCTACAATCGAACTTTAATTTTTTTTCTTTCTTTATTTTGGACTTCGCCTACGACCTGGTATTATCTAAAAAAATTGAATTTTAATATATTGACTTTAATTTTGGCATAGCTTTGAATTTAATTTGAGAAATTTGAATATTTTAATATCATGATTTTAAGTTACCCTCATTCGTATGAGAACTTAAAAAAAGTACTATAAAAAATGTATGCCAAACATGTACAAACAATTAAAATATAAATTAGTAGGGCCAACAAAAACTAATTATGCCAATGTATAAAACTGCTTTATGCTTTCTCGTCTACTTCAACACTACTTGAAAAAAGTGGAATGTCTACAAACAAAACACAATTATAGGGATATTTAAAAATCTTGCCGTCCAATGTGAGTGTAGCTATTAGATGTTACACAGAAACTTACCACTATTGGTACCATACAAGGAATTCCTATGTAAAAATTTTGCAAAAGTGAAAATAATAAAAATGACTGATTTAAAAACCAATATCCTGTTCACAATTTTTTAAAGCAAAATGCACAAAAAAGTATCAACAAAATGTAGAAAGTTGCAAAATTTCAAATATCTTGAAAAACTAGAGTTACTGTCTTTTTTTACAATTTTATCTAAATGAAGAAATCATTATTTTCACTCAAACTGGTTAACAGTTTACCTACTATTTTGTAATAATACCCTGTATATTCTGGGACTTGTAGTTCAGAAAACGATTATAATTTCCTGGCACTAATATTTTGTAATTCTGTAGAGACTTGGCAGCAACAATAAAGAACTAAAAGTAGAATTGCGTTTTTAATGAAATTATCTAGAAAAAAGTATATATGTATTATATAAACACATTTAAATAAACCGAATTACCTTCAAAAATCCTGCTAACGAATATATTTCCAATATCAACTCCAGCAAAAAAATAAAAATTGGAAATAGCCGATACAACCAACAATGGAGAGGCCATAATGCATTTTATTCTTCTAAACCAATAAGGATCTATTTTCATACCATAATTTTTCTCAATATACTTTTTGTAAAATAAACTACTCGTGTCTTCCAAAATTATACCAATATAATTTAGAACTGTCCATACCAATATGTAATGTTCTACTCCATGCCAAAGATAAACAAATAAAAAACATGTTAAGCTGGCAACGAATCTATATTGGTAAACTTGACACAGAGGAACATAAATATATCTAAAACACATATTTTTAGGATGTTCTACTTAAGACTATACCACCCCTTTCAAAAAGTGGTCCTTATTTAGTTTCTTTACGAGCAAAAATTTACTCACACTTTTCAAATGCTAGATCACCAAAATGGATTATTTCAGGCTTTTTTTCTGGGAACAATTGCATTAACAAGTTATTCAGACTCATCTAAAATGTAAATGTAAAATTTGATCAAAAAGTAAATTTTCATAAAAAATTACTCCTGTCCAAATTCAATTCAATCTTTGTTGATAAAATTTCCTATAAAAATGTTCATTTTCGATCTACATCTAATGTAGTGGCCTTGCATTTGAAGGTAATTAAATTTTAATTCATAACTCAATAATCGCCATCTTTTGAAATAAATTTGATTTTAAACAGTTTCAAAACGGTGTTGATCAAAAATTTTAATAAGTAATACCTTAGTAAAAATTTGTATAAACCAGGATCAAAATATTTCCACATGTCTGAATACAAATGAATTCTTCCAATACATCTTGGTAAATGAGGCACATTGACATTTTCAAAGGAAGCAAAACTTGTGCTTAATCCATACAGAACAACATACTTAATATGAAAAAACTGACCCATTGCATATCCATACCCATATAAGCTCCAACTATCAAAATGTTTAACCAACTAAAACAAAAAGATAAAAGATTTTAATTTGTACTTCACTTGTCAAGAACTATATATTTTTTTCTTACCTGTGGTTGATATGAAGTGGCATTTACATATATGTAATGCAAACAGAAATTGGTAAGGGTATACCAAAATATACATCCACCTAAATTTAAAATAAGTTTTTGTACCCTTTTCCAAAAAGGTACAGCTGTAGAGTTATAGATGTTTAAATAATCATTAATTGATATAAATGGACCTGTGAATATCGTCGGGGGATATAAACAGTACGAGAGGAAGTTCAAAAGTTTTTTTGAGGAATGTTTATCTAAAAAATAACCTGTACATTTCAGGTTCATCCAAAACAAACTTAATATCACAAAATATAATATTTGGGGATTCAAGTTTAAAAATCCCACAAACTTTTCGTTTGAATTAAATTGTTTGCAATATGTTATAAATAAAAGAGAAATGCCAGTACATGACCAAGTGATCACTGTACTTCGGTAAAAGTTACAAATTAGGAAGAAAATAGCTGGCTGAAGCAATATAAGGAAAAGTATGGGATATCCTGTTTGAATTAACAAATATAAAATCGAGAAACAGACTTGCCAAAGCTGGTACACCTGAAAAATTTGTATACATATTGTACATATTTTTGAAATACTATTACATTTTTTATATATTGTAAATTCTAATTAAAAATACCTCTGGCAATTTACGAATAAGTTCAGATATAGCTGCATATAACAAAATCCATGGGAAAAAATGTTTTATCAAATAATATATAGCCTCCCATTCAAAATCAGATTTATCTTTTCTGTTCGAGACATAAAAACCATTGGTAAAATCATTATATTTATCTTCATAGTTCTTAAAAACTAAAAATTAATTGTTAATAATTTTTTATATTATTTTATTTGTTAAATCTTACAAAAATTACTACTTTTTGAAAAACAGCGTAATGAATACAACACTGCGAAGATCCACATTGAGAAATACATATATTTTTCTGTTTTAGTAATGCTGTTCCGTAAATTCATTATTCATTTTCTTGATTTAGATTACTTCACAAAAATACCAAATTTCTAAATTTGTATTTAAAGAAAATAACTGGTTATGTTTACAAACATTTAAAAGCATGATAGAGACCATGGAGACTACACAAGGAGACCGAGCCGCGCCATTATTCCATGGCTAGAAATTGGCCTCAATGATTTGGGATCGAGGGCGGATTATCCCTCTTTATCCTGCTTCATCTCGTGTGGGCCTGGACAGCCTTCGTAGGTGGGGCCCATCCGTCGTCTACCCCGACCGCAAATGCGGCCGGTGTAGTCGCTTTATGGGACCTCCTTTTGTCCTGGCTGGGCCCCGCCGGCTAGGGCCCTTTCTTCTGGCGCTCTTCTTGCTTCGCCGGCTCGTCTGTGTAAA